AGTAACGTCTTCCTATGGGCAACGACTTGAAGGCACAAACTAAACTGTTCATCATTTATTCTTTACGGTACGCCAGCATTCAGAACATGGAGGCCAATCACTGTCAAGGGCCCAATGTACAAAAAAACGGCGTTCCCCTTTAACCAAACACTACTCCCCCGGCACCATACAATGGCAGCCCTCTGCTCCCCAACGGGTTGGGTTAAATGCATGAGTTAATTTCGTTACTCTGTACTTGTGACAGTGGAATGACAATAATGACATTGCACAAGTTACTGCCAGAGAGTTTGGTTGCAGCAGGAATGAATGTGGTAGCGCTACTTTTTAAAAACAGGCTGTAAAAGTCTTTGGACTTCACATTTCTTCACACCTTCCACCCTCTGCACCAGACTGTAGAGGAGCTGAGCAGCTCCTTTACTCAAACGGATCCATGGTTTCCATGGTTTCCATGGTTTCCTAGCAGAAATGGGAAGTCAGAACCCTGACATGGATCTTGTGTCTGCAGGTCTTCTGAGGTTTATCTCCAACAGCTTTGATGTCTGCAGACATAACCTTCTGAGGCAAAGTTTCAGAACGTTCTGATTGGACCAACCTAGAACAAAACTTTCAGGTCGGTCCGATCTGAAGAGCTTCAGTCTGGCAAACCTGGATACTGTGAGGTCCCACTTGGACCTGAGCATCCGTTACCACGGCGATCCAGCTTGTTAGAGTGGAGAGGTTTGCCTCTAGGTAACGTTGCGATGCAGCTCACAGTTCTCTGATCTGCAGGTTTGGGCTTTGGCCTCCGCAGCCACCAATCAAGACCTGAGTCCAGATTCTGACCCGGACACAGAGACGCCCTGGGCCAGACATCCGTTCGGACGCCATCTGCTGGAGACGCTGTAAGTGATCATCTGGTGAGCCCTTTTTGAAGCGGCGTAGCTTTGAAGCTGAAGTCTGTGTTTCCTTCAGGCTGGAGCACTACAGCCAGATGAGCGACGTCCAGACCCTGGGTATGCTGTGCAGCGTGTTCAGGGCTCAGGCTCCGCCCCCTGACGGTTACTCTTTGCCTCCGTCACGCCTCCACTCCCGATACGTGAGTAACGAGCTTACAGAGCGCCCCCTGCTGGCGACAGGGATTCTAACGTTCCCGGTGTGTTGACCTTTAGCCCAGCTACACGTCCAGCTCCGTCACCTCCGGCTCCTGCTCCAGCGCCTCGGACTCCTGGAACACAGGTCAGACTCTACAGCTCCCCCTGCTGTCAGGCCGCCGCGCCTCCTGCTCCAAACCTCTTCCTCTGTCTCGTTTTCAGTCAGAGACCCCGAGCACCCCAACCCCTGGGGGGAGTCTTCTCCTGACGATTATCGCTATGGCAACCAGGGCTACACGGACCCTCGGGAACGAGAGCGGGAGCTCCATGACATGAACAAGAGGTGATGCTGCTAAATGGACAGAAGGACATCAGCTCTTCTTTAGCATCGCTTCCAGAACCACTCAGGTCCAAAAGATTCACATCCTCCCAGGGTCACAATTATTCACGCCTGTTCTGGATCCTTTCCAAGCTTCCTCTCTGCTGGGGAAACTGGGGTTGAGTTATACTGGGTGGTCGGTTTCCTGGGCTGACAGATTTGGACCAGGGTCAGAAATTACAGCCGGGTCAGAGGCGACTGGTTCTGGTTCAAGGTTTCAACCCTGCGGCTCTGGATCTGAGCTAAATCTCCCCTCAGCATTATGCTGCCACTGTCGTGTATGACAGTCGGTCCACAGCAGGACCCAGACTCAAGCTTTGGTTCTGTTCCTGAACACTGCAACCATCCGGGTCACCCGTTTGGGTCGGATGGTTGAAACTAGGGCTGCAACAACGAATCGATAAAATCGACTTTTAAAAGCGTTTGCAACGAATTTCATCATCGATAAGTTGTGTCGCGCAATTAATGCGTCACCCGCCGCCGCCGCTGTCATCACTGCCACTTGACTGAAACG